TTTCTACGATTCGAAGGGAATTATTCACAAAGAATTCATTCTACTGGGCCAAACAGTTAATGCTGTATTTTATCTTGGTGGTAATATGCATTTGTTGTCGCGTATTCGTCGTGTTGGGCCAGAATATCGCCAAGAAGGAAGCTGACGCTTGTTGCACGACAGTGCACCATCTCATCGGACGTAGAAGCCATCCAAAAGGCGTCGACGACCATTTTGAAGGACATTCCGGACAATGAGCTAAAATGAATGAAGGACACTATTTTCAATAAAGTAAATTCTATTCTCCGAAACAAAAAAATATATGTTCATGTTTTTCTTTGTCCTGTTTACTTGTATACTAAGTGACATATAAATCCGAACACCCAGTTTAAATGGTTTTATTTTAATAAAAGTTGGTGAATGTATTTATCTTACTGTAAATAACAAGTGAAAAAATGTTCAGCCTTATCAGTTGGACATTCCGGTTTTTATACTGCTTTTTTTTAATTCACTAACGCTCTAAAAATGAATATTTCAGCCGCAGTAAAGAATCAACGTTGGCGGATTTTGGTTCTTGACATCCTTTACGATCGGTTACGATGCCTAGAGTACGGAGACCGGTACGATTTCGTCAGAGTTTGATAGGGGCCGTATAGTGGGACTTCGGGCAGCTGGACTTTCTTTTTGGGCAATTGCAGTTAGAGTGCAAAGAAGTGTAGACACTGTGGTTAGGTGTTGTCAGGCATGGTTTCGAGAAGGCCGTACGCAAAGAGCAAGGGGCACTGGACGCCGCCGTAGAACAACAGACCGTGAAGATCGCCGCCTGAGATTATTGGCCTTAAGGGACCGTTTCTCCACTACCAGGTCCATTGCCAATGAATGGTTTGCAGAACACGGAAGACCTATTGGCATGCGAAGTATTTACCGACGAATGAGAAGTTTTGGCTTGTTTTCATGCCGGCCACACTGGGTCCTCCCTTTAACTCGAGAACACCGACGTAATCGCCTTGAGTGGTGCAGACAGCGGTCACTCTGGGATCAAGAATGGAACAGTATTGTCTTTAGTGACGAGTCTCGATTTTGTTTAGGCGTGCACGATGGTCGTGCCAGGGTTAGAAGGCGACGTGGTGAAAGGAGCAATCCACAGTTTTTTGTTGAAAGACATGTTCATCACACTGTCGGAGTTATGGTTTGGGGTGCTATAGCTTATGGTTCCAGGTCACCTTTAATCTTCATCAGAGGTAACACCCCAATTGAGCACGTGTGGAATATGATGGGTAGGAGATTGCTCAATTTGCAACGTCCTCCTCAGACTCTAGAAGCACTTCGAGAGGAGTTGGTGGTTGCCTGGAATGAGAAACCACAGGAGGACATTGACCACCTGATTCAGAAGCATGCCTAGGCGCGTTGGAGAATGCGTAGCACATCAGGGTGCATCCACACATTATTAAAGGTCAAAGGGCTTTAAAGCAGTGCAATCATTTTGAAATTTTTATCATTTACTTATTATGCTTCATTAAGTACTTATACAAAATTTTATTAAAATAAAACCATTTAAACTCGGTGTTCGGATTTATATGTCACTTAGTCACTTAGTATATATGTAATGGATATATTATTGTGTATTTTCGAAACAGCACTATTCAAACTAAATGCAAGGGTTAGAAAGGGTGAAAGACGACAGATCCATGTTACGTTCTCTGGATGCGCGACGATATCGCCACTTAGCAGATGCCACACGGAAATATTTGCCCTTGATGAGGACAATGTAAAAACGTTGATGATATTAGTAAAAATGACCACCGACAACTTTCTCAGGGTGCTACTAAAGGCAAAACGTTGTTTGTCTCAAAAATTTTAAATATTTTAACACCATCAGATTGGTGTTTTTAGAGGTTTCTCATGATATCACGTTTGACGCTATCACAACCGTTATCGGATTATACATTAAAAAAATGTCTGTCGTGCCACGGAATTGTGCAACACTCACAAATAGTTTAGAGATAAACACTTATAAGATGTCAATCTTGCTGTTTAAGTCGCTTTTATAGTTTTTTTATTAAACTACTTTCTATCTTCGTTGGGATACCCTGTATATACTGTACAGGGTTTGTACGGAAAGTAATAGGACTGAGTCGATTTAAAAAAATTTATTGAGCCAATCGTTACAATTCTTTAAAAACTTTCAAAATAGGCTCCTTCTGCGTCGATGCAGCGCTGCCAGCGCGATTTCCAAGCATTGAAGGCGTCACGGAAGGCATTCTCCGGAATAGCCTTGAGAGCCTCGGTGCATGATGCTTGGATCCCCTCTGTCGCCTCAAAATGCTTGCCTTTCATTGGCCCTTTCAGGCGATTAAACAAAAAAAAGGCCGGCGGGGCAACATCTGGGCTGTAGGGCGGCTGCGGAAGCGTTGGGATGCCGGCATTGGTCAGGTAGCTGTTCACAAGAAAGGCGGTGTGAGCCGGGGCGTTGTCGTGGTGCAACTTCCAGTCGGCTGCGATGTCTTGTCGAACCCGACTGACCCTTCGTTTGACTCTCCTGAGCACTTCCACGTAAAACTTGGCGTTGAAGGTTTGTCCAGGAGGAACAAATTCATGGTGGACGATGCCTTTGATGTCAAAAAAGACAATGAGCATCGTTTTCACTTTGGATTTGCTCATTTTTCCCTTTTTTGGGCGAGGAGACGCCTTCGTGTGCCACTCGGAAAATTGTCTCTTTGTCTCGGGATCATACTCAAAGATCCACGACTCGTTACCTGTGATTACGTTATTCAAAAATTGGGGGTCACTTTCACACATGTTCAAATTTTCTTGGCACACTTCCACTCGCCGCAATTTCTGGTCGTCAGTGAGCACTTTTGGGAACATCTTCGCGCACACCTTGCGCTTGTTCAAATGCTGTGTCACAATGTCATGAACCACAGATTTTGGTGAATTCAACATCTGGGCAATTAACGAATACTTAGTCGACGGTCTGAGTTCAAAACTTTGCGCACACGAGTCACATTATCCGTGTTTGTCGAAGTCGAAGGTCTTCCAGCACGGTCTTCATCAGCGACCTCTTTCCGGCACTCCAAAAAGGCCTGGTGCCACCGAAACACACCATTTCTTGCTAAAGCAACACCTGAGTAAGCCTGCTTGATCATATCAAACGTCTCTGTCGCAGATTTACCGAGTTTCACACAGAATTTAATCGCGTACCTCTGCTCTAACGAACGCTGCATTTTCGGCTTGCACCACTCACAGAAACACGTCGCGCGAAAATGCCTGTCATGACTCTCCAAGTGCTCGGAGACAACTGACCAGCCGCTCATTCGTTAGCTAGGAACGCCCTCTACCGAATCCAGTCGGTGGGCGCACGCTCCGAAGTACAGTCATGGCGGAAGAAAATAAGTCCTATTACTTTCCGGACAAACCCTGTATGTATGCACGTGATTTTTATTATATCGTTTAGTCCACAATACAGCTGGGGTTTATAGAATGGTGCAGGCAGGCTTACACACAGGGGCTAAGGCACACAAACTTTAATAACCATTTCCAACAGAAACCATTTTTGGACTTTGAGCCGTTGGAACATATGATCACCATAACATGAACTACTGTTTGAATTTTCTTCAAAATTAACCGGTGGACAAATTAAATATATTTTGTGCCTGGTAGGTACGCCCAAATGACGTGATTTGAAAGCAATAATTGTGTTGCTGGATGTGAGTCAAAAAATTTCTGGAAACCAATGAATGTAGTGGCTCTGGTGGTGGTACCAATGGAGTCAATTTGTTTTTTCCACTGATGCAACATAATCCAGGGCTCCATCTTTAAACTTGAAACGATTTGTTGTGAACTGTAATCGATTGCCGCCTCATAATTGAATGTAGCAAACTGAAAACTGGGTAAAAGCTCTAATCGAATGGACTGTGCACTACTAATTAAATAAAGCAATATTTTTTCATTGATGAACACTGGTAAACGATAATTGGACTGTTGGAGATTTACTATGATCTCAGCAAATATTTGAACTTGCTTTTCTTCCGGGATGGTCGGATGACCTGGAGGCTTTTTGTTGTTTACACTACCAGTAGCTGTAGATATAGATACAAGTTCCCTTAAATATTTTCTACATATAGGACGATTCGGGAAACGATCATTAAAAATCCTTTCGGTCTCGTGAAAGTTACGCGTCGCACCATAAATAAAAGTCACTTCGACTTTTTCTTCCAATGGACGATATTTGACCATTTTAGAAATAGTTCAAACAGTACCTGGCACTAAAACCGCAAACTAAATAAAAATATTTTAACTGTACAATGATGCTTGCTTTCGTACTGATATTCTTGCCACTGTTATCAAAAAATAACAAAACAAGTTTTTATCGCTGTTGCTGTGGATACGACACGGAATTACAATTATTTGTAGAGATATGCATGTTAGTGGGTTTGTGTTCAAGTAATTATTAAATTTAGCACCATTTTGTAGTAGGTAAAGTTGCCACAAGACCTCCGTTTTAATATAATTTTTTTCCAAGATGGCGTCCAGCGGCCATCTTGACAATCTGTCAATGTTACTTTAAAAGATGGTATCTACGCATCAATTTCATTACCTCAAGTTTAAGTTTTTTGAATGGGTCCGTTGAAAAACTCAAAGGGGAGGGGACATTAAAGAAAAGCACTGTATATGTAGATATCGGTCGGGCTATGTCGGCATATGGATATAAAGACCAATTCATAGGTATAGTATATCTGCAATAATAGGCGGATATGGTGAAATGCATATAGGCAGAGGACGAGCCTGTCAATCAGGCTAACTGGAAGTGATTTATGTGCAGATATTATTAATGTTATTAAACTGATGTAGAATAAAAAAGTTTTGCTCTCGGTAACATTAAAGAATAATGGCCGATATTACCCCTGTTACGTTTATGATAAAACGATTCATCCATAATGTAATGTAATGTATTATCCGTTTTTCTTGCAAAAAAAGGAAGAAGTCAGCGGTAACAATAGATTGTTTCATTATTCTGAAGAATGTTGTACAAGCTGGTCGCCAGTCTACTGTTCGCGTACTTAGCTGAATGTAACATCATAATTCAGCGCGAAGACTGTGAAACATATCGTTGTTTAGAGGACATTATACACTATCTATTTAGGAATGAGTCTATTTTATTCGTTAATGAGAGGAACTATTCCTGCCTTGAATTCAAGTTCAATGTCATGTCAGTTTCTACCTATTATGACAAGTCATTTGATAAGCATAGTAACATTATAATAGATTCACGCAACGTATATGACAGTCTATCAAGGGTTCCAGGTCCAGATAAAAGGATACTTGTTATACTACGAGAAAATGGTGCAATTGGTTACAAGGAGATGATGCTAAAGATGTGGTGGATGAAGAAAACAAAATTAGCTATATCTAGAATTCACCAAAGAAAAGTAGAGCTACTTACAAATTTTTATATGAAAACAGAAGAAGTATGTCCAGACCTTCATTTTGAAAGATATGATGACTACTGCACAAGACGAAGTGCTGTGAAGATTCAAGTTAATGTAAAAGAGCATTGTGTTATGAATGTAGGCTATGCTGTGGACTTTCCCTTTGTAGATGATATTCATAGCAAGGTGAATCCAGGAGTTGTTGTCTCTTTAATCAGAACCTATAGTCAAGTAAGGAAAGTTACACTGAACTATATGAACAGTGAAGTCTATCAGGATGAGTTCGTGAATAATGGCACCGTACACAAGCTAAGAAGACATCTGTTGGAAAATAAGATCCAAATAGCTATTGGCCACTTGTTCATGAACAGAACGGATGTGAATCCCTTTTACTATGGTCCTGTTATATTCAAAGACTACATAGAGTTTGCTTGGAGAAAGTTTTTGAGATTGGGCAGCTTCCAAAAGATGACACTCGTATTCGATAAGGTGGTCTGGATCTGCTTCGGTGTAACATTTTTGATTGTAGTTATCGCTTATTTATTCACCAGCTTAATCGTAAAGGAGCAAGTTGGATTTGCTGTCATTTTGACAGACCTGTTTGGTGTCAGTGTTGGTACAGGTAAGCATTATTTGCCTCTTGCTCAGGCAATCCATGTAGCGGATGTCTGTGCAAGGTACTGGTGGATGCACCGCGTTCCATGTGGGCATTTAGAACGGAAGACAGATCTATACATCTGTTAAGAGAAAGATTTTTCCGGAGATTTTCCCTTAACAAATATTGGGATATATAGGTAGATCCCGTTAATATAATAAATTACAAATACGTCTCACGGCCCGAGTATACGTACGAGCCCCTTCCCACTTCAGTTGGCCACTTCAAGATTTGTACCAAAATATGCATTTATAAACTAAACATGACGAAGCTATTTACTTCTAAAACAATTTATTTTCTCATAAACATTTAACGTACACTCTAGTCGTAAAAAATACATATTTGAAATCACTTAGACCTATAACTAATAGAACATCTGAACAAATAAACAATGTGCGAATTAATGCGCGAAGTTAACAAAACAGCAATTGAAATATTACCATTGGGTAACATTACATTTATTTTTTATTACGGCTGAAATTCTTTGGGGCAAGGTCTGGCAAAAATTTGGTGTGAAACAATTTCTTGAAGCTTTTATCTCAGTTCGGTGATTGTTCGAGCAGGATGTTGTCGTAGAACCTTTTTCATCTCGTGCCACCAAGTTTCAATAGGTGACAGAGCTGGACTGCTAGAAACGCATTTCAAAAGTGGTACATTATTTTCTTCCATTCATATTATATCCTTTTTTGAGGTATGACACACTGCACCATCTTGCTCAAACACAAAATCCTGGCCGGATGTCAAATATTCTTCCATGGTAAAAACGATTCTTCTTAAATTGCCAGATATTTGTTTGTATCCACATTTCCATCAATAAAATGAAGTTTTCCTACTCCTTTTGATGACATACTGCCCCAGACCTTAATGGACGCTGGAAATTTCACTTTTCTCTTCAGACAGTCAACATGGAATGCTTCATTTTTTTGTGAACAACTCTACTGCGACTGTCGCCAACACAAACTTCGAATCGGGCCTCATCACTCCATTGAATTGCACACCATTGTTGAGGTGTGCATTGTCTATGTTCTTTAGCCCATCTAAGCCGATTTTTATTTTGCAGTGGAGTTAATAGTGGCTTTTCTTTGGCCTATAAACAAGTTGTGCAGCTTTAGGGTTTTTACTTCACCTTTTTTTATAAGAAAACTTACCTTGCAAGTGCTAAATCCCAGTTTGTGGGCCTCTCTATGAGTTGTGGACCTTGAAATTCTCCTTCCAACAGAGCACTTAATTGTAAATAATTGGCACGTCTGTTTTTCACGATTACTCTTCTTAATGATCTTCGGTCGGCATTTGTGATATTACTTTTTTTCACATATCGTGGCTTAATATTAACTGAACCAGTTACGTTATATCTTCTAACAATATTTCTCACACTGTACCGCGATAAGTCTAGCAAAGTTGCAATTTCTGAGTTTGATTTCCCAGAATTAAAAAATTTAATTATCAGTAACCGAATTTTATCACTAATAACCTTTCCTCACTAATTTTGAAAACCTTAACGACCCAAAACTATTTTAAACGTATTCTGACAGCTGCGATTAATAAAAAAAATTGTCATGGCTTTTATTTTTCACAGCTACCTATGCGTTATAGACTTATTTTGCATTGAAATGAAAATAGGTTGATATGCTGTAATTGCAACATGTGTTATTATTATGCTGCAAATTTTATTAGGGAGTGATAAAGTTGGTGTTTTCTACTATATATTATCAAAATATTCATTGTTAATATTTTAAACCTATAACACCCTGCTACATTTTAATTATTTGTGTTTGATAAGAAAAAAACTAAGATTTCAGTAGTTGGGCCAACTGAAGTGGGAACGGGCTCGTATTTCTGTCAAATATCCTACTTACTCTATATCACTAAATCAGATGGACAATCTGGAATATCTCAGTGAGTAGGTCTTCTTAATGATATCCGAATACCCCGAATCACTCAGCAATCAGGCATCTTTTCGAAAAAAAGCTCCTAACCTCAAATATGACTTACATTATTCACATCAGAGGTCAACTTTGTATATTCAAGTAACAACAATGGTTTTTGACAATTGATTCGTGCAGGGATTGAAGCTCCACATCCGCAGAGCTATTACTTAAAAGAACCTATGAAACGTCAAAGAAAAAAAACGACGACAAAACGACATGATACGCTCAATGTCCATGTTGCGTGCTACAGGTCATAATAAAGCTTTGTTGGTTGCGGGATGCCAAGATAGTCTGTAGAGTATAATCTGAGAAGATGTGTGGTTGAGCAGCGAACTAGAAAGAACATTTTTGGATGATTGTGTGTATTAGTCTGCATGTGTATTAATCAATGATATTTTCTATGTGAGAAAATTATTTGTTTTGTCTTGCTGAAGAGAGGTTATGTTCAAAGTTATACATTACGATTTATCCCGTTTTTTGCGTTTCAAAAACTTTGAGAAGCATTACGGGAAGTCAGCACCGCACCGGCGTTGTGTGTAATTAAGCCACATATTTTTTAAAATTCAGCAAATATACATACCAGTATGTAATTTCAAGGTTGAATAAGAAAAAGCGGATGCACAATGAGTAACAGCCAGTGCTAAACTGACATCTAGTAGAAAAGCTTTCTTAATCTCACAAAAAACCTATGTCAAAAAAACCGACATAATGTCACTTTCCAAAATATGTAATACATCTGCCAAGCGCACTTTCTCAGTGGCCTAATCAGTATGACCTACAGTAACTAACGTCCTCAAATCTCACGAAACTCACTCATTTTTCTGAATGATGGTTCCAACAGGTTTCAAGAAATTTACCGATTATCTGAAATGCGACTTGATATTTGAAATTGAAGGTGAATTGCTTTTCTAATAACTCGAGACTATCGTTAGATTATTTTTCGAAAGAATACGTGATTGTCAAGTTTTATGGTTTTTTTTAGATGCTACAGTAGAACCACTAATGACCATTTAACCTAATATATGAAAATAGACTCTGACGTTAAAACCTTCAGCTCAACATGAACCTCCTATCGAAAATGATTCTTGCTATTTAATTTTAAGCGTGACCTCCAACCTCCACCTTTACGCTAACGACACACGAACCCACGGGACCCGTGGAGGACCCCGTGGAGGACCCCGTCTTGCTGGAGGACCTTGGAGATGCCCAAACAAAATAAAAAAAAAACAAACTGATTTCGCTTTGGTCTGGAGGCTCTTATATAGCTTAAGACGGACATGTGCCTCCTATATACCAAAATTCTGTCGTGATCCTTGAGGCCATTCAACGTAAAGCTTTAAAGTATTTTCACCTTAAATGAACAGGTTCTTATCCAGAAAGAGATTGTGATCATAGTGCCCTATTAGAGTTTTTCAAATTGAATTCACTGTCAACAAGACGAAACATATTTGCTTTGTCGTTTTTGTATGGCCTCATTCACAATAAAATTGACTGTCAAAATTTACTTGAAAAAATATGTTTCCGCGTTCCAAGGCTAGGGAGTCGACATCAAACGGCATTCTATTGTCAAGCTGGCCGAACTAATGTTATGACCAAATCGCCAATTAATCTCATGTGCTGCGTCATGAACAGTGTTACTGAATCGTGTGATATTTACAGTGACAGTTGTGCATCGATTATTAACTGCTATAGATCATCCAATCTTATTTAGAATGTGTGATACTATAGATTTAAGTCCAAGAACCATGTCTCTTTAATTGTTATTTTTTTCAGCATTTCCTGTAATTGGGTTTCACCTGTTGGAAATAAATAAATAAATAAATAAAAATAAATGTCTCTAAGGGATCTCTGCTTTCTTGGTATGACAATTTTGTTGAAGTCTTTCTTTAAACAGTAAAAATGCAGTGATGCTGAGTATTCGGGGCGTTCCGTTCGGATATTTATAATAATAATGATAAAATGTCTTTATTATGCGAAGTTTAGCTAAAGATATTCTACCACTTGATCCG